GGAGGCGCGGAAGAACCTGCTGAGGACCCACACCACGTCAGCCAGCGCCCGCGCCCTGTTCCAGCTGGCACGGCAGGTCTGGGGGCTTTTGGGAGGGGTCTGGGGGCTTTTGGGAGGGGTCTGAGGGCTTTTGGGAGGGGTCTGGGGGCTTTTGGGAGGGGTCTGGGGGCTTTGGGAGGGGTCTGGGGGCTTTGTGAGGGTCTGGGGGCTTTGGGGGGATTATAGCCATGAGGGGGAACAGAGGATTTTTTGTGGCGGTCAGTGGGTTTGGGATTTGGGGTGCTCACAGCTGAGTTTAGGAAGCTCGGCGTTGTTCGGGGCGGGGCCCGGGATGCCCGGAGCAGTTTGAGGGGGATCAGAGCAGTTCTGGGGAGGGGGTCCCACCGTGTGTTTCCTCTCCCCTCCCCACGCCAGGAGAAGTTCACCCCGGTGAAATATTTCTCCATCGACCGCGTGTTCCGCAACGAGAGCCTGGACGCCACGCACTTGGCCGAGTTCCACCAGGTCGAGGGGGTCGTGGCCGACCGGGGGCTCACCCTGGGCCACCTCATGGGCATCCTCAGGCAGTTCTTCACCAAGCTGGGTACACGGGGGGGGGGGGGGGGGGGGTCACTGGGAGACCCCAGACCCTTTTCACGTGCCTCTCCTGACACCCCCCCCTCACTTTGTGCCCCCAGGGATTTCGCAGCTGCGTTTCAAACCCGCCTACAACCCCTACACGGAGCCCAGCATGGAGGTGTTCAGCTACCACGAGGGTGAGGGGGGCTCCTGGGGGTCTTGGTTGGGCTTCTCTTATGGGTGGGGGGTCTCATCCTCGTTTACCTCGCCCCCCCCCCTCCCCAGGGCTGAAGAAATGGGTGGAGGTGGGAAACTCGGGGGTCTTCCGCCCCGAGCTGCTGCTGCCCATGGGGCTCCCCGAGAACATCTCCGTCATCGCCTGGGGGCTCTCGCTGGAGCGGTGAGTGGGGGTCGTTTGGGGGGGGGGGAGGTGGGACCCACTGTGGGTCCCCACTGTGGGACCCCCCCCCCTCCTCATCCCATCTCCCCCAGACCCACCATGATCAAATACGGCATCAACAACATCCGGGAGCTCATGGGACACCGAGTCAACCTGCAGATGGTCTACGACAGCCCCATGTGCCGCCTGGACGTGTGACCCCCACCCCTCCTCCTCCTCCTCCCCGGGGGTCCCCTCATTTTGGGGAGGGGTCTCATCCCCGGGGGTCCCCATCCCCAATAAAGCGCTGTGCCCTGTGTGTGTGTCTGTGTGTGTGCTGGGGAATGGGACAGGTGTGGGGTGGAGTTTATTGTTACCTCGTGGCTTCTCACGGCGCTGGAGACCCCCGGGACCCCCGCGACCCTCGGGACCCCCGCCCGGGACCTTCCCGGGACCCCCGCCCGGGACTTCCCGCCTTTCCCGCCACTGCCTTTTGCTGGCCGGCGATTGGCCCGCGAAGATGTCGATCATCCCCTGGTCTCCCTTAATGCTCCAATCAGCAGCGCCGATATGTGAATAGCGGGCGCTGATTGGGCGGCGGAGGTTCCCGCCCAGCAGGCTCCCGTGAGGGCGGTGTGAGGGGGAGCCTGAGGTGTCCCGGGTATGGCCCCCGCGATCGCGGCCCCGCGCCCCCAACCCCCCCCCGGCACCCGGCCCGAGCCGGGCTTAGTGCCCCCAACTCACCCCCGGTACCCGGCACGACCTCGGGACCCCGGCCCGAGCCAGGCTTAGTGCTCCCAACCCACTGCCGGGACCCTCTCTTGGGTCGGGCCTTGCGCCCCCAGCTCACCCCCGGACCCCGGCCTGAGGCAGGGGCTGCAGCAGCCCCATCCCAGCGGACCCAACTCGGGGGTCCTTCCCCTGCAGCTCCCCGGAGCAAAAATGTCGCGGGAGGAGCCTGAGGGTCCCGAGCTGGAGGTAGCAGCGGGCGACAACCCCTTCCCGGAGGGACCGGGTCCGGACGAGCCCCCCGGCAAGGACCCAGACTGGTACCCCCTTCACCCTGCGCCGCGATTTTGGGTGAAAGTGGAGAAAAAAGAGCCGTGGGAGATGCCCGAGTGGTGCGGGGAGGGGAGACACGCCTGTCACCACGAGTCAGAACGTTAATTAGAGGGTAATTCTCAATTAACGGGACTGGCAGTGCTGTCGCACCCCGTGGACGCCCCTGAGGGGGGATCCCTGTCCCCATGCGAGCCATGCCCGTGGTGGGGCGGAGATGTCCCTCACCCCGTCCCCGTGGGCTCCCTGTCCCTAACCCAGTCCCTGTGTGATCCATGCCGCTGATGGAGGGGTCCCTGTCGCAGTGGGGTCCACGGGATGTCCCCCTCCCCTCCCCGCACCCCTGAGGGAGGCTCCCGTGTTCCTGCCGAGGCCGGACTCGGAGCCAGGGCTGGGTCCCCGCGCCTCCGTGTTCTTCGCCTCGCTGGAAGCCGGCGTGGGGAGGCTGCAGCAGCGGGCGCAGGACCTCTGCAACCGCGTCAACGACAACCGCAAGGAAGACCAGATGCTGCTGAGCAGCCTCAGGGAGACCCTCCTGCTGAAGGTAGGACCGGAGGGGGCTGCGAGGTTCCTTCCCTTCCCTCCCGGGGCGCGGGGAATCGCGTTGTTCCGCCCGGTTTGACGGGAGAAGGGAGGCAGAGCCCGGGCAGGGGAGGCAGCTGCGGAGCCCGGCCGGGGGGAGCCCCCCGAGCCCCCTCGGGGGTGGCCGCAGCTGCCTCCGGCCCCGCTTCCAGCGGCCCCCGATGTCCCCCCGATGTCCCCCCCCTTGTCCCCACGCTGCCCTCGCGCCGGACTTCGCTCCCGCCGATGTCTCCACAGCCGGGGGGGTGGGGGGCGGCCGGGGGGGTCCCCAGGCCCCCGCGCAGATGGCGGCCCGGCCTGGCAGCTGCGGCCCGCGCTGACCCGGTGCTCGGTGGCCACCGCGACCGGCGCCGCGGCTACCGGGGCGCAGCTGGCGGCGGCCGGGCCAGGCCGGGAGCGGTGCCAGCGCGGGCGGGCGCAGCTGCCCCCCGGCCCCGGGGACGGCGGCCGTGCCAGCGCCGGGACGAGCCGCAGCCCCGCTCGGGCAGGTCTCGGAGCTGGCGGAGCAGCTGGAAGAGCGGCTCTTCCACAACTACGGCTACCACAACGAGCTGATCCAGGAGCGGCTGCGGGCTCTGACCGAGGTGATGGAGAGCATGGAGGAGATACAGGCGGAGCTGCGCAATATCTGCCGCACGGTTGAGGAGGTTTATCGGGATCTCTGCCTGCAGCCCGAGGCCTGAGAGCACCCCCAGACCTGAGCGGGACACCCCCTCCCGAACCCACAGGACCGCAGGGTTGTGCCGGGCCAAAGGGGGATTTTGACCCCAAAGGGCTTTTCTGTTGCTGTTGATGGTTGGAACAAATAAAAGGCTGAAGCCGTCCCAAAAGCTGGATGTGGAGGGGCTGCACTGAGTGGCACCCCCCGAGGGCAGAGCTGGGTCCTGGCAGGTTAATTAACGCTGACGAGCAGGGCTGGCATGGAGGGGGTTTCCCACCGTTTATTGGCCACAGGGATGGCGAAGGCACCGGGATGGCGCTGGACACGAGGCCCGGCACCAGTGGGGTCCCCTGAGTGTCACCGAGTTGGTGACAGGAGGTTTGGTTGGTGACACCGGGTCCCACCAGTGACACTGGTTTGGGGTGACCCTGAGTCCCATTGGTGACGTGAGGTTTGGCCAGTGACACAAAGTCCCGTCAGTGACACTGGATCCCTTCTTGGGACACCCGGGTCCGGTCGGTGACACCGAGTCCTGTCAGCGCCGCCATCTCCTCGCATCCCTTCCCACGAGGAGCAGACCCTGTCCCCAGCGGTGCCACCGTGTCCCCGCTGCCGTGTCCCCTCTACGTCCCCTTGGCCGGGGCAAAGGCCTGGACGCCGGTGATGGCGCGGCCCAGGATCAGCGCGTGGATGTCGTGGGTGCCTGCGGGGATCACCACACCTCAATCCCAACCCCAACAACCCCCTGAACCCCTTGGGGACCCCCCGTCCCCTTCCCCGCCGTACCCTCGTAGGTGTTGACGGCCTCGAGGTTCATGAGGTGCCGGATCACGTGGAACTCGTCGCAGATCCCATTGCCCCCCAGCATGTCCCGCGCGTCCCTCGCGATGCCCAGCGCCTTCCCGCACGAGTTCCGCTTCAGCATCGACACCATCTCGGGGGCAGCCCTGTGGGGACACGGACGGGGACACGCTGAGCCTCTCCAGGACCCCCCCGGGCCCCCCCTGGGGACAGTGCCACCCACCTGCCCTCGTCCTTGAGGCGGCCGAGGCGCAGGCAGGCGTGGAGCCCCAGCGTGATCTCCGTCACCATGTCCGCCAGCTTCTTCTGCACCAGCTGGTTCCGGGCCAGCGGGCCCCCAAACTGCTTCCTGCGGGCCAGGGGAGGGGGGCAGCGAGGTTTGGGAGGGTTTTGGGGGGTTTGGGACCCCCCCAAAGTGCCCCCAGCCCCCCCGTTACCTGTCGAGCACGTACTGCCGCGCCGTCTCCAGACAAGCCTCGGCGGCGCCCAGCGCGCCCCAGGCGATGCCATACCGCGCCTGGGTGAGGCAGCCGAAGGGACCCTGGGGGACAGGGGGTGTCATTGGGACCCCCCGCATCCCGCTGGTGTCATCGGGACCCCCCACATCCCGCTGGTGCCACTGGGACCCCCCCCATCCCGCTGGGACCCTCCCCAGTGTCCCCTGGCTCCCCCCTTACCGCCAGCCCCTCGGCGTTGGGCAGCAGGTTCTCCTCGGGCACCTCCACGTCATCCAGGAGGATCATCCCGGTGGTCGAGGCTCGCAGGGAGAACTTGCCCTCGATTTTGGGGGTGCTGAGCCCGGGGGTCCCGCGCTCCACCAGGAAACCCCGGACCCGCCCGTCCTCCTCGCACTTGGCCCACACCACGCACAGGTCGGCTATGGGCGAATTGGTGATCCTGAGGAGGGGAGTTTGGGGCGGGAGGGTCAAAGGGGAGCTCTGGGGGTCTCCCCCATGGCCCCCTCCCCTCAATTTCGAGGCTCACCAGGTCTTGGAGCCGCGCAGGGTGTAGGTGCTGGCGCTGGGGTTGTGCCGTGCCCTCGTCTCCATCCGCCCCGGGTCGCTCCCGTGGTTGGGCTCCGTCAGCCCGAAGCACCCCACAATCTCCCCCCGAGCTGGGGAGGGGGCGTCAGGACACCCCTCAGGAGCACCCCCACAGAGCCCACTCCTCCTCCAAACCCCCCAGCGCTGCCTCGCACACCCCCCAAACTCCCCTCCACCCCGCAGACCCCCCAATCCCTCCCCCGCTGCCCCTTCCCCTTGCCGGGGGTCTCACCGAGGCGCGGCAGGAAGCGCTCGCGCTGGGCGGGGGTCCCGTAGGCCCACAGGGGGTACATGACGAGGGAGGACTGGACGCTGAGCACCGAGCGGTAGCTGCTGTCCACCCGCTCCAGCTCCCGCGTCACCAAGCCGTAGCCCACCGACGTGGTGCCCGCACAGCCGTACCCTGCGTCACCCACCCAGGGTCACTCAGGGTCACCCATGAGACCCCCAAAGACCCCCCCCAGGGACCCCTCAGAGTCACTCAGGGACACCCCAGGGACCCCCTCAGGGTCATTCAGAGACCCCCAGAGACACACAGGGTCACTCAGAGTCACTCAGGGATGCCCACGGAGCCTCAGGGTCACTCAGGGACACCCAGGGACGCCCAAGGGACCCCAGGGTCACTCAGGGACACCCAGGGACCTCCAGGGTCACTCAGAGACCCCCCCAGGGACCCCCCAGGGTCACTCAGGGACCCCCAGAGACCCCCCAGGGTCACTCAGAGACCCCCAAATACCCTCCCCAGACACACAGCCCCACCCTGGGGACAGCGTCATCCCTCAGAATGTCACCCATCCCCAGAAGCCCCCAGACCCCACTCCTGACCCCCCAATCTCCCTCCCATCTCCCCCCGCGCCCCCCAATAATGCCCTCAGGAACCTCAGGGGGAGTCCCTGAGCACCCCCACGCCCCCCTTGTGTCCTCAAATTGCCCCCCCGGGGGTCCCCATGGCCCCCCCTCACCTTGGATGGTGGGGCCCAGCAGCCCCAGTTCTCCCAGTTCAGTCACGATCTCCCGGTCAAAGACTGGGGAGGGGGGAAAGGAGGGGGGTGAGGAGGGGTCGAGCTGAGGGGGGGGGCAGCGGGGGGACCCCTGGGGGAATTTTGGGGTCCCCCCACACCCCTGCCCCCACCCTGGGGGAGGGGGGGAGAGGATTTGGGGGGTGTCGGAGGGAGTTTGGGGGCTTTTGGGGTTACCAAAACTCCCCATTTTTTTTGCACAGGAGGGATCCCGAGGGAGATCGGGGGCGAATGAGGG